TTTTTACCAGTCAGCAAATAATAAAAGAAAAAACGTTACATTAAGCAGCAGACGAAAAACTTACAAGAGGAAAACAGTAGCAAAAATCTTTACAAATCTCTGACAGATCCACTCTAAACTCATTCATTCCGTCAAGCAGCCAACCATCCAGCCAGCCAAGCAAACAAGCAGCCAGTCAGTCATTCAGTCAACTAGTCAGAGTAAGTCAGTTTCTTTTCTCTATGCCAACTGACCATTTCAATGATAAAGTGCCACAATTTCAAGGAAAAGGCACTTTATTTACCGCTACAGCACACAAAATCACATAATATAGACCACGCGAAATAGTTTATACATATGAATCTACATCTACTGCAAAACCCAACAACAACAGCATTAAAAATAATAAATAAAAAAAAAAAAGAAATCTCCAAATTCAAGATATGTTTAGTGTCCAAACGTTCATCCGTGTCCATTATAGCAATCTCACCAGACTGCATATACACAAAGTAAGCGCATAAAGTAAAAAGAAAAAAAACAAAAAAAAAAAAAACACCAACGTAACTAATTTTAAGATTTGATCGATTTCGTGCGCTGTTCTTGTTAACAGATTAAACTATATCAAGTCAGTAAAATAATGCCCATCTCTTCGCGAGAGGTAACAACAGCAGCAGCAATGCTACAATAGCATTTAAACACTTCTTCTAACTATCGAATCTCGCACGTGAACTTTCTTTTTCTTTTTCGTTCTTCAGAAAGAAAGACGCCGCAATAATCAAATCAAATTACATTACAAAGTATAAAGTAACTAATGAAAGACAAGCAAATGAAAGGCATTAAAATAGATTTTGCATTAGATTTTTATTCAGCGATCAACAAATACGCGAACATGAAATTTCATTCAAATTATATCAAATTATCAAGCCCCTTCTTCTTCTTCTTCTTCGATTATATGCTGTAACATGAAGTAATTGTTCTCTTCTTTCTCTTACGCTTCAATTTTATTCTTCAATAACGAAATTCGCAACCATTTGGTTAAAATAAATTTTCGGATAAGCATTTCCTTCATAAGCAAAATTAGTTCGTTACATTTCCCTTTTCAGTTTTCTTTCTATTATGTCGTTTTCCTTCTTCCGAACACATGTTATAGCCCAGACACTCAGTAACATACTAATACCCCAAAAGTTAAAACCCATAGTTTATTAAACTAACTGTAAACTGTTTACTGTTAAAACACAATCACTTTACAAACATTATGAATGAGCACTATGAATGAGATATAATACGAGCATCACTGCCAGCACTTACTCTCTCTCTCTCTTCCTGCTCTTGTTTAAAATAAGAGATGCATTTGAATCTAGTGAGGGCAATGTGAACATATTTTTCAAAGAGAGATCGTTTCGCGAAAAGTCCAGTAAACCGCTTGTCGCGCATAATGTTGATCAAGCAAAACAATGAATTAACTTGATTTTATTTAGGACCGATTACTTTTGTACGCACCTTTAGCTTTACCATTAAATATCCTACGACAGTTATTCATATACCGGCTTCTCAAACCAAGGCTTTTTCTTGAAAGTGGTCGAAAAATGAATCCAACCAAATAAAAATTAATAAAATATCTTAAAAGTTGCGGTCCGCAATATGAACATAAGAAAACAAGATAAACAGACGAACAGACAAGCTTAGAAAGTGATTCTAACCCGACCGGTATAATAAAGTATAGATCTATCATAAGTCCTTCTGTATCACAAATGGTGCAAGATGCAAAAATCTTCAATAAACAATTGTTGTAATTATTATAAAATACTATGGATAATTATGATATTTATTACGACGGTTATTATCAAGGTCAAGCGAAAACCTTAAGAGCCCCCAAGCATATTAACGTATTTTCTGATTTGCAAACACTGAAAACATTACCTCACAGATAGTTAATTATACGGGCAAAAACCTTATAAACCCTTTAGTGTACTCATTCCACTAATGACCAGTTTTTTAGTTACAACCGGCGCTTAGCTTCGATTTGGCTAAACTTAAGCTGTTCGCGGATGCAATGTTATTTTGCACAGCCTTACTCAACTGGAATAACGTAAATGCTATAGCATTCATGTAAAAGAGATCAAAGGGACGTTGAGAGAACCCTACCTCCTTCTAGGACGCAGAAAAAACAAGTACAAATTATGGTAAGGCATCGGCCACAGTTTACCCATATATCGGCTTTTTAATATAAGGCGTTATATGGAAAGTGATCGGAAAGGTGTTTCTATCCGAACTGCTTTCAAAAGGATTCGTCTTTGGACGAAAACACGTCTATGTACCATATTAAATCAAAATATCCCAAAAATTGCAAAAATAGATTGCACACAAGAATACACTAATAGACAAGTTAAGATTGATTCAGAATTATTAATGAAAGGTGAGTCTATCTTAAGTTCTTCTGGGTGTTGCATACGGCCACAGGAACGCAATATATCCTTGTACGACAACTGCTGTAGGATATAAAATAATATGGAAAAATCTAATGAATGAGTTAGTGAATCATAATAATTAAAAACGAGTGAAAACATTATAGTCGAACCAGGCCGACTGTTCAATTCCCTATACCACGTTGTCTAACATAATTCTTATTTTTGCTATAGAATAGAAAAATGACAACCTGTTTTTACATGAAGCTACTAATATGGAACTGTATAGTAAAAACTACAACCCTATGCAAGTAAAGGCTTACCTTTCGTAAGAATCGTTGTTGCCAAAAAGGTCAAAAATGGAGGTATGTGCTCAAAAGTCCGAACAGTTCATTTTTATATGAAATTACTAGTAAGGGTCTATTTTCATCACAACATGTTAAAATTTAATCTGTTCTGACCTATAAAGGGTCAATTCTTGTGAAAGTCTTCATAAAGGGTAGGATCCAAAAAATAGGCCGAGACGGTCCAAATTGGATACAGTTATTTTTTTTTTCTCTACTATTATCATTTAAATTTCAACATAAAGCATTGGAAATAAGACCTTTTTGTCATACGAACTGCAGTTTTTGTTATATGAGAGGGTTCAAAAAATTGCCCGAGCCGGTCTAAAGTTTTCACCCCAATTTAAAATGCCGAAATATTATTACTTAGACACTTTTGTCAAGGTATTTTGAAAATTGCAATTTTTTCCATATGACGGCGTTTCAAAATAGGGCGTTATCTGTGAAGGCGTCGAAAAAGTGGAGTGCGTCAAAACACGTGCATGTACCAAATTTCATCAAAATATCTCAAGAACTGCATCAGACGGACAGATAGACTTAAATTGATACAGAAACATTTTATGATTCGATCGCCATAATAAAATGTGATTCTATCCTAAGCGCTTCAGCGTGAACATGTATCCGCACAAACTTAATATATCCTATACCACTTGTGCTATCAGATGTGGAACATCAGCGTTATATAAAATTAAACGAAAAATACTTAGCGTCATATTTGCAACAATAACAGCTAGCGCTACAGTGTTCACGTACGCGGAGAGGTTAATGCCGAAGTTATAATTTTACAAAAATTTTACAAAATTACGCATTCAATTTAGTTGATTTTTTATCTTTGCAGAATGCTAAAAAAATTTTAAAGGTAATTTCTTCTTCCCGACATGGTTTCTACAACCGCTAAAAGAGAGGCACGCTGGCAGACACAGATATACGTGGAATTGTATGTGGTATCCAAAACAAACTGAGTGCAACTGTGACTCCGCTAAAGAGAGGCAGATTTTTACTAATATGACTGGCAAAGTGCAGTTATATATTTGTGAGAAGAAAGTAGTTTGAAAAGTTAAAGGATACTTTTATTTCTCTCGAAATATATTACGATGTTCAAGAATACCTTATGGTCACCGCTTTGAAAACTTTCGATTAAAATCCATTGTAAAATTCAGATTGGCGTGATTTCAAACCTAATAAGTTAACTTAGATGCGTATTAAACGGCTATACTAGTTCTTTTAAGAGCATTGACTCTCAATATAGAATTTTCGATTTTTGATGCATACATTCGGTAGAAGCATAGCCATCTTATTGGCATTTCTAAGAAGTTTGAAGCCAACTTTTAATTTAATTAAACTCAGAATAAATGAACTAAAATGCAATGTTATTTCAATCGGCAATTGTAGTAGATGTGAAATACCTCCCGAAGCTGAAGCATTAGAAAAATGTTTGCAGGGTTATTGCCAGCTCTACTACTTTGCGTTACAATTTTACTCTTAATGCATTTACTTGTGGATCTTAAATTTAAATCAAACGTAACCTCTATCTCAATTCCTAAGCCAGGTTAAGAATCCAAACTCGTTCTCTCTCATAATATGTGCGCATTGTGTATATTTGCAAGATGCTCTTCTAAACACTTCGTCTCCGTTGTACATATATATATATATATATATATATATATATATACACAACAACACTATGACAATTGGGCGGAAGATACTCCACCCAATTTCGGATGCAAAGGCAACAACAACATGTACCTACAAAAATACAATATTAAACTGCCTCAATTGGAATGCTAAAGCACTGCTACACAATGGTACAATCGGTTAGACGCCATACGGCCGCGCGACTGCTGTAAAGGACAATAAGTGGCTCCGCTCTTCTATTTACAATTCATTCATTGAGTAAAACGAAGTGAAATAAGTAAGTAAATAAGTATGGTGAAGGTACGATGTTCCGCGCTTGTTTCTTCTACGAACGGATGGATGCAAGTACTTTGCAATAATTGCAATGGGAAGCTTCTTACCAGACGTAAAGACATGGCTTTCGGGTTGCAGTCTCAACAACAGCGTGAGTAGCGGCAGCTAACGTTAACAGCATAGGTATACGGTATTTTGTTGTTATTATTGTTGTCGTAATGAATAACTTGTAATTGTAACAGTTTTCGAGGTGGTGGTGAGCGAGCGCACAAACGTTTTATGAGATTCCCCCATAGTTTGTTGTTGTTTGTCTTCTTCTTTATTTGCTAAGCTGCTGCTGCTGCTGCTGTTGTTGTCATTGTTGTATGTGATGGCTAACTTAAACTAGATGATAGATTTGAAGTAAATAACAGCAACAGAAGCTTAAGCAGCGCGTGTGCAGTGTTTAAAGTGTTGATCTCGTTCGGGTGTCTTTGTTTTTTTTTTTTTTAACTATTTGTGTTGAGTGTTGTTGTATTTTGCGTTTGGATTTCGTTTGGGGGTAAAGCTGAAGCGCTAAGATCGTTATGAATTCAGTACTTCATCACGTACCTGTGGAGAATGGTCGCCGTTTCGGGTTAATCCAGAAACCACACGCACACTTATGTACGTACAGACAATCAATAGACAATTGCAACTGCATGTTAACTGTTAACTGCAGTCTCGACATCAACAAAAAAACATACACATACTCGCGCGCGCTCTGGTTTTGTTTTTTTAAAAACAACTCTTCTACAAATAGCGTAATCGGCGATCGTAGAGGAAGAAGACCGCTTGTTGGATTTGGATTTGGATTTCATTCACTGTTTGTTAAGTTGTGGTCGAGCATAGACGGACGTTTATAATTGCGCGTGTGTCGGTCGTCGGTACACGAACGAGATCATCCATCAGTAATTTGAAATTTAATACGCTTTCCTTTAATAGTAAATGTTTGTGTGATAAATTTCTTTAATAAAAACAAAAATTGATAAAGATATAAAAAAAATAAAAAAAATAAAAATAAATAAATAAAAAGAAACAACTGCAACGTGACGGTAAATAGAAAGTGCAAGACCTCGCAACAAATTAAAAAGATATATATACCCAATGCCAAAAACAGGCGACAACGCAGGACATTCTCGTAACCAACTCAAATACTCCACTCAAGTGTTCATAATAGAAATTTTAACGAAAAATGTCTACCACTGGTGCTTATAGTATTTTGAAAAAATATTGATATAAAAGAGTTTAGTGTCATCATTTTTCTCTGGTCGTTCAAACCTAAATGAAATAAAAAAATAATAACTTCTCGCATTCCATCGCTTAACAAATGTTAAAAAAATAAAGGAAAAATTTGAAAAAAAAAAGAAAAAAATAAGAAAGAAAGGCTTTTTGTAATGTGTGCGGTTTTCTTGCGGACTCATACGAACGGATGGATACCTGTTTACCTACCAAACCAAACCGACACAACTTTTAAATTACGATTAGCCACTTCCGGATGCACAATCATCTTGTAAGAAACAACAAAAAGCAATAACCGTCTCACAGCGAAGGATGATGGTCCAACGTGAACGCAATAAACAAATAGGCCACCACTACCTTTCTTCTATCTTATTAAGCGGCATATAAGCGACTATACATACATGTGCATATAGATTTTTATTTTCCCAACTATTCAACATCCTCAACGAACCAATCAACGATTTCACTTAAATCATTTACTATAAAAAATACGAGCAAACATTTATTGCGCCTTGCCTTGGCTTGGCTTTGCGTCTTCCTGTTTCTTCTATATAACAACATCTCTTAAACGGATATCCGTTCTGCAAATAAGTTGAAGCTATAACCGCAGTGTTTGTGTTTACCCTACGTTCATGTGAATATTTAAGGTTGTGAAAACAAGTACCGTTCGTTTAAAATGGATGCAAAAATTATCATCATAATGGCCAAAGCATTTGTTTGACTTGTTTCTCAACGCAAATGCAACGTTGTTGCAATTCGTCAATTGAACGTTACCGACTATGTCACAAACGAAGGCCTGATTTTCTTTAAAAAAAAAAATGTAAGTTTTACCGTTATGTAGCTTTTTTTTTTTTTTTTGTATTTTCGTTTTATTTTTTTTCCTAAGAAATTCTTTAACCGCAAGACCGGATTTACCGTGCATTAGTATATCTGCAATTTATTATGCAAATTATTCCTTTTACAAGTAATTAAGAATTTTTAATAAATATTTTTGAAATTAGAAAAAAACGAGGAAGAGCGCTATTTTTGAAACTTAAAAAACACTTAAAATGAAAAGAAAGGGCTTACGTTTTACACAGTAGTGAGAAAATTGATGATCATATGAAAATCGAAATCATCTGGAAGGATTACGCTTAGAAATAGAGACTTGTATCGACAATTCCCAATCTCCGTGCCCCAATGGAGTGAATGCAAAACATATTGTTAGGGCTTTATAGCTTTGTTACTTGGAAATTGCCTGCAAGTGCGGCGACGATTGTCCGTCGGCCTTTTGTGTGTAAAGAAATGGCCGCTGCTATGTCAAACTTTTAAGTATTTAAAAAATGCTTGTTGTAGGCCTGCTCTCCTGCCGCCTATTAAATCTGCATTTTTCTGCCGAAATGCATGTAATCCCGGATTCGATTGAATACGCCAATCGCGCCCTCTATCACTATATTCAAGAAACGCAACATTTCCTCTCATATGCCAATTTTAATGACAATTACCGTAGTAATATACCGATTCCGACTATTCATCGGTAGTTGTTAAAATACGTTCTATACATGTATACACACATCCTTACATAGCCAAGAAAACAAAAAACCTACAAAGCAAACGCTAATGCTTAAAAACCAAAGTTGCTTTCGTTCCTCTACGTTTGTTCATCCTTTTGCTCTTACTTTCTTGTCGGCTTGCGCAATATTTATACAAAATTACACATTTACACGCATCTCTCATAGTTTGTAAATTAAAATTTTTCGACTATTTTGGTCGTAGTTGTGTGAGCAGATCGCGTGCCCCACCTGATGTTCCTGAGCTGGTGATAGTTAAACACGTGCCTGGTTTTGGCTTTAAGAATTCCTGCGACCGTTCCAAAGCTCTTTTCATCTTTTGGATGCCAGCAAACAGAGATGGGCATACGTACATATGAGGAAACCGCAGATGGATCAATCGATTAAAATTGTTACGTTGAACAAATACACACATACTCCTTGGTTTTTAAATATTCTATGCTTCTTTTTTGCTTTGAAATGAAAAAATACAGAAAGATAGATAAAAGCAATTGTTGCCAAAAGCTCTCCACTCTCCGCACGATTTGCACGTTGCTTTAAAAGATAACATACCTCTACGCGCCACCTAAAAGCGTATAAAAGTTTTTCTTCTTTTTTCCGTGTGTACCTTTGTAAAAAATCCTTTCCATTCGCATTGCTTAAGAGACACAAAAAGGAAGAATGTTGTCTTCCGTTTCTCCTAAACCTTTGTCCTATTACCTTAAGGCGACCTGAATGAAGGAAAGGTAAGCAGGAAAAAATCTAACAAGAAAATGTGACAGCAGAGCCGTTGAAGGTGTCCGTCGAGCATGGCGTGTACATTCAGGATTTTGTACATATACCTAAAACGAAAGATATCTAACAACAATAGGCTGCAATTTCAAGATAATCCAAGAAGATCCCTGCTGTAGTGTATTATAAACCCAAAGTGCGAATTCGCTGAATAATATGTAATACGAAGCTTTACATATTCATTAACAGAGGCTTGAGTAAAGCAAATTTAAATTGTATCTTCGGCATCGTTTGCAAACTCGAGGGTATTATGGAGTATCCACGACTATGTGTCAAGCGCATGTATTCTTGCTCTCAACTTTAGAATCGATTATCTCTAAACAATCGTCTTCAGGCCCACAATTGAGAAAATTTTACCCTAAAGAGGATTCGTAGTATAGTAAGTATTGAAAATTCCCTAAGGAAAATACTTTGGAGGGATTTTGAGATTTTGTTTAGTAAAAAAAAAATATGTTTTTAGTCCCACTCAGAGCAATAATGGGTAAAAATCGCGGAGGTGCTCACAAATAATTTTATTTGCCTTCTAAAAAATCACAAGATTCTGGTTGCAACGCACTGCGGAAGTGTCCAGGGTCCCATGAATTTTTGAGAAAGCGTGGGTCAGGGACCCACTCGCTGTCAGGAGTGCCTGAGGGTAGATATGACACAACATTGGTGTTTTGCAGATTGGTGCTTGCCAAGATCCTTCGGGCGGAAGCTTGCATATTCACGTAGATGTGGAAATCGCGGTGGAAGCTAGTATTTCCACTCGCCAGTTTGAACGCAGCAGTTACGCAATTGATCGATTTGAACGCCGTCAGAATTGAAACCAACATTCATTAGTCGCGATAAAAGCTAAAGAGTTTAACAAAAACCTTTGTGTTGCTAACAGCAGAGATAGTGTTATTAACAATACATAAATATTTTATTATTATTACTATTTATTATTATTATAGAGGAAACTTTTCACATTTCACTATTATAGAGGGAGGTAACAAACTTATTAGGGCATCTCACCAGACCGTATGAAATCATCGCACTGACAGGTGACTCTTATAATTGCTTATGCAAAAAGAGTAGACATTTGCTAAATTATGGAGCAAACATTCTCCATCATCCCAGGTTTTCAAAAATTGAATACGAGGATGTTCGCGAACTAGAGTTAAGTATACGTTTGGTGTCCCATGTAATTATTTTTTACAACATTAGAAGTTATAACAAAGCGAGATTAACGGACAGCAGACAAGATTAGCTAAATCGATTCAAAATTTTATGCCGATCAAGAAAGCTTTATAATACATATGCTATATGTACCCTAACACGGTGTTATAGCAATAAATCAACTAAACGTATCACTTATTTTTAAGTGGCGATTAGAAAAGGCAAGAAGGTATTGAATTGATAAAAATCTTACTTTAGTTATTTTCCTCGTCATAAAATGCCGATAGAGTTTAATTTCTAGATAATAATGTGCTTATCTAGGCAGAAAGTGTATCTGGAAGTCAACAGCATCGTAACCTTTTCAAAGAGTAAAAGTCAAGTGTGTTCTTTTAATAGTTAACCCTTCTGCACACAGAGTTTCACTCACCCTAAACGTCTGCAAAAACTGAATTTTTGAAGGGAAGAAGAATGAAATTACTTTACTATTATTTTTGTTGAGATGTTCATTTCTACGAATCTATTTGTCATGGAAGTTGCCCACTTTTTCTACACACTAATGCAAAAGTTTCATTAAGAAGCACCCTTACTACTACTAACATATCCTAAATTATATTTAGCCAGATGAGGATATTTTTAACCTCTTAAGCCTGTAAAGTATGAATATATTACTTGCTGCACTGTGTGTATAGTTCAAGTGCGTCTTGACGATGCTATTGCTTGCACATAGGTCACAAATAAATAAAGGAATACTCGATCTATGTAGAGGCCTCCTAATTCTTATGCGTGAGAGTAGGAAGAATATTAGGTAGTCTGCATATTTCTTGCAGTTTTTCACTATGAAATGAAATATTGTTTTTTTTTACATAGGAACAAACATGTTGTTTTGGATGAATAAAGTTGTTCTGTAATTTCATGAATCGTTATATGTCGATCAGCAACCCTTAGTTGATCGTCATTAATGTGTTTAGCCTACCAGAAAACGGTAAAGCTTTCACTGAAAATTTCCGTAAACCAATTTTGGCCAGTGAGCATCAGTTCCATACACATTCACCTCTATGTCCTTCTGCAGCTCTTTCACCTTTTTTGAATTGAAAAAGGAAAATGTGTCTTCTATGTTTAGCTTCATCTTCCATGTCTTCTTTACCTCTTGCCACTCACCGCGCAACCGATTATTTTGAAAGTTTTTTGCAAAATATACACAAGCCTGCTCCATATAATCACATATACCTTTAAGGCTAATTATCTGTGTAGCTACCTGAAAAAAATTACTTTAATTTGATGTCGGGAGAAACCGCAAGAAGTTTCCGGCCCACCTAGTAGTAAGAAAATACTCCCATTTTCCAATAGTGAGTGTTAAAAGTACTGAAAATGTTGTTGCAAATGTGAATCATTTCGAACTCCCACTCAGTTAGCAAAATTTCAAAGGAAAATCAATAAAGTTTACATTAGCATATCTAACTGCCGATATGCAACAAAAAAAACCAATTTCAATATACTGAGTCAATTTACAAAACATTCTAAGGCAACGACAGATAAGTTAATAAGTATAAAACTAATGGTAAACCTAAGCTTTATATTAATATAAAGTCGGCTGATTTGTTTCCAATATAGGCAGATAAGGAATGCGCCGGGTTAATAAGATGATATGTACGAATTTTGAGAAGAGCCGCGTGAACCTTTTTCTATTAACCAATTACCTCTGCGTCAACCTCGTTTAGTCGTCAAAAAGAGAATGTTATGGGTAATACGAAATCAAGTTGTAATGAAACGGCTGGACAAAATGACACAACTATTTTTGAAAATACATTATTACAGCACCGCACAATTAGCTGGTGGATCATTATAAGCGAAACTCAAACCACAAACGTAGAGCTGAAAATTAAAATCGATACCGATTGCCTACAAGTAAAGGTGGTCTTCAATTTCCCAGCTTTCCAATTAACAAGAAAAAAACGATCAGGAATACCAAAGCCTCCAGCTGATAGGGATGATAGCTTACAGCTTACACAGCTTTTAGCCATCTGGACGTGATAATGAAACAGGATATACTTTCCTAATTGATGGAGATATGTTTAAAAAAACTAGGCGTTTTATAACGGATGGTCAGATCTTGACTTACATATAAACAATTTGTGTATAAATGGTTAATCCGCATTTACTTAAGCCTGATAGTATTATCTAATTACAAGAAGAACACGCAAATACCGCAAGAACAGTAGATCTGAGATTCGGTTCAAACATGATAAAAGAAAATTTGCTTAAGAAGCTAAATAATAAAATTAAAACTATTAATTTTAGTTGAATTTTTACTTTCCCAAAAACGAAAAAAAAAAACACAGTATACTGTGCAGTAAAATTA